ACTTTTTGTAATAGTGTCATCAAAGCTTAAGCGTTCTACATAATTATTTTAATAATATAACAAAATTTTTTTTTCTGAAATTTTTAGACACTTTCTCACCATTCTTATTTTCACGCAAGCATGTTTCTGTTGTCTAATATTTGAAATCCGATCTGTGTGAAAACAGTTTGCAGAATTAGATATGTATATAAATTCATAAATGTCTAAGCACTATCATCCGACCGAATATAAGATTTTTTTCGTTCAATTACATTTATTCTTATTCGTCCACAATTTATATAGTATCGTATACTTACTAAAAATAATTATGTTGGACCGTCATAATAATTATGTAGAAAATTCAAACAATATAACAAAAAGGTTTAATATCAGTAATTAGCTTGATCATTCTACGTAATTAATTTGATAGTCCAATAAAATTTATTTTTAAATTTATATGTAGCTAAATTTTCAGATATTTCAGCGAAATCGTTCTGTCCGTATAGATAGCACGTATGTGAATAAAACAGAATCTAATAGACGAGTGTATATAGATACGTGCCATCAAAACTGAGCATATCGAAAGGGAGACGTTATTTTGCGGGCTGAAGAATAATTTACAACGTTACAGAGAGAGAGAGCAACGTGACGCTGGTGTGAGATGCATGAGAATTTAATTAGCTTTATTATATAAATGTCAAAGATATACGCATTATATAGATGAATGTAGATCCGCGTAAATGTAAATCCCGGCAGAATAACGATTCCCGGAAGCAGTAATCTATTTGATAAATCACGTCTTATGACTATCGTGGATTATTCGATCCGCATGCGAGGATAACAAGGAATAACAATATGATAATGGACGTATGTTACCGTCTGGTGAGAATATCTTCTGAGTTGTTAAGGTGTTGGACAAAGTTACCACTCTTCTTAAACGTTACTAATCTTTTCAATTTGCTCAATTCTCAACTTTGCTGAACCAGCTAATAACAATTACTATTATTAATATTTTATAATTATTCATTATTTAATAATTATTATGTGTTAGTTTAATATTATATATATTAGTTTGATATTTAATAATTATTAAATAGTTAAGTATAATTATATTAAGTATAAATATATTAAGTAGTTATTAAAAATTCAGTTCGCATTAAGTATATAAATGCGATTTATGTTTATTAACTTTCTTTAATTACTTACATTTATTTTACTTATTTAATAAAAATAATATTTTCACGAGGAAGAATGATTTTGCTAAAGTATCTACAATTTTTGGATTAGAAAAAACATACAAATTTAAAAATAATTTTGTTAGACCATCAAAGTACGCAGAAAACTCAAGTATAATGAACAATGCTGCAAATAGTTTGGACAACTTTAGTAGCTAACTTGAACATCTTATATAATGTTTTGATTCGACACATATATTTTCAGATCTAGCTAAATTATTAGTTAATTTAGCAAAACTTATACAGTATAGAAGCAACATTGCTACAACATTATAATGCCAGGTCGGCAAAATATGTACTTTAATATTAGGAAATTTGTGTTTTTTTTAAAGCAGAAAATAGAGCGTGTAGACAATCCAGTTGTAATTAATAATTTTAGTGCGCATACAAACCGTCGACAAATGTAACATAGATAAACGGTACTATAAGCAATCAATATGTAAACAAACAAGGTCTTTCCTTTCCAGAATAATACATTAATCTTTATTTAAAGCAAGATGTTTCTACGCAAAACTTTAGAAATATTTTGGCTATGATTCAATAATCGAGACAAGAACAAATTACTAATATCAATTTCTTTAATATAGATCTTGTTTGATTTATAGTAGTACATACATAAGTGATAGTCATGCATACAAAAATAATAGTCAACATGTAACATCAAATCTTAGACGAGAGTGTGTTCTGAAGACGCAGTTGGATAAATTCACAGTAAGAAATTTTTATCGCAATTGTTCTGTATATTTAGAGTTCATTTCGTTTTCACAATAAACGCTACTACAAAACATTTTTTAAGATAGTACACACGCGATAGTATCATTCAAAAGTTATGTCCCATTGCGAGTTCGGTGACGATACTCTCACCTTCCACTCCGGTCAATGCACACTGAGACCTATTGCAGAAAAAGTAATCATGTCACTTGTAATATCTATACATTGAAAGTATATATAATGATTTTATACATGTCTACAGCTAGGACATATATTCCAGTATTATATATAAGGCGTTATACAGACAAACATGGAAATAATGCGTTATTGAAAATAATAATAATTGTAAAAAAATCTTTGTATAAATTAATTCATCCTCTCTAATAAAGTCTTGATATTTGTAACTTTTTTAGATACATTTATTAAATGTAACATACATAATATAATGTACATAATTAAAAGATGCACTGTCAAAACTATTGGTTTTTGCAATTAGCATGCAGGGTAATTAATGTCTTACACTGTATTGTAATTATATGCATTCATTTGAAAGTGTTATTTTTTGTAATTTTTCGAATTTTTCAATATTTTTCGGACTATCGAAATGTGGGGTTAAAGGTGTCTTATATTATTACAAAAAAGCTACATTAAGTACATATTATATTATATAAGATGAAGACATGTCCGGACACTTATAAAATTAATTATTATTAATCTATAAAATGCTTCTGTTATTAAAATATTGAAGTTTAATTATATTTGTTATAATTAAATTACGATATGGTATTTAAAAAATTTGTAATTAATGTAATAATAAATTTTATTTTAGTGTTTGGAAATAGGTGCAGATCTAAAGTCAATAAAACGTTTACCATAATAAGTTTGTCGCCTCGCTAACACGATTCTAATGTCAGAATTAAAAACTTCGAAATGGCGGATTTAATATGGCGAACTTGAATTCTAAAACATTGTCGAAAATGCACGAGAATCTGCTTTTAGAGAGTTTTTTCGAGTTTGTAATTTTGATTAACATGTCACTGCTAGTTTAAGCCATACAAAAATAAATTCGATATTTGCATTAACTTTGTATAAGCGACACGTATAAGAAGTGCTGTCTTCAATTGCATACATCACTGTACTGAAACCTCAGTCTCAATTGCACAAGCATAACAACTTTTTCTAGTACAATATAGTATGTATATCAATTTCAAGAAATTCTGTTTTTAATTTGCGAGTGTACTATCTTAAATCCAACAAAATCATAAATAATGAAAGTTATTAAAAAAATTAATTTAGTGGTTGGTTTTGTTTTATGAACACACATTGTGAATTTTACACGTCGATGATCCTGTATCTGACAATATTTTATTATTATATATCTCCTAGAGAAATTGTATTTATTTGGGGAAATTTCCATCAATGCATATATCAAATCTTGTAAAAAAATTACATTTTTATCCTCTAATTTCTTTCATCATTGGTTCGTCATTATTATTAAGAGTTGTCATAAAGTACTTGATCTGCTATTCTGTTGTCAGTCGCGGCTTAGTCCTTTACTACCGTATCACTAATGTGACCCTAAAAAATAATCTCTTATATCAAATGTATTGTGGTACATTACAACAGTCTATTATAATACGTTATTGATATACAAGAAAAGTAGTAAAATAATGTACTAATGAATTAAATTATATCATGAATGACCTTTTGCATGTGTGCAAGAAGTTGTTTTTTTTCCGTGAAGCTTCTGTTACATATCGAACATTTATGCGGCTTTATATCGCTATGTGTATATTTGTGAATGCTTAGGGTTCTTCTAAGAGTAAAAACTTTGTTGCAAATCTAAAATACAGTACATTTATAATTACAAAAATGTAAAAATAACCACAATCAAATGAGATACAATTAGAAAAAATAGTAACAATAATTTTGCAGCACATACCTCGCAAACGTATGGTCTCTCGTCTTTATGTATTTCTGTATGTTGTTTAAGGTGATGTAAACGTTTAAATGTAGCTGGACATGTCTTACATTTATAGGGTCTTTCATCAATGTCAGATTGCTTCATGACTAAATGATTAATTATATTCTGTTTATCATCAAAATCATTCTTACGAACGTTACAAACTTTATTGAAATGCATTTCCCTCTTGTGTTGGTTTAGATTTGATTTCCGACTACAAAATATTTATTATTTACTAACCTTTAATTTAAGTAATATGATTATATAATATTTTTATAATTTTTTTACTTACTTAAATCTTTTTTCACAAAACTTGCATTTATAAGGTTTTTCACCTGTATGAATTATCAAATGACGACGTAAATCGCATTTCCGTTGAAATATTTTACCACACGTTTCGCATTTGTAGCGTTTATCATCAGTATGTACCTCACTATTAGATCGTTTCAAAGCTTGTGCGGAGAAAATGTGCTCATCTTTAATATAATTGAAAATGATTATTAAAACAAATGTGAAAATGGTAACATAAGATGGAACTGTTGATATAATACAAGCATGTCCAAAACTCTAAAAATATTAAACATGGACTACATAAATCTCATCGCAATGTTTAAATTCTTATTTTTTTGTACCTTTATCCATTATTTTTAACTGTTGATTCAAGTATTACGAACTTGAGATTGATAGAATATTCACAATAAGATTGGAAACAAAATTATTTATGTTAAATGCATTATTTTAAATACGAAGCGCCAGTATGGTCTGAATGTTAAGATGTTGAACTATTCATATATAAATATTCATTTAAATAAATTAATTGCAGAAAATAAATACTTCAATTCAGAGCCGTAGTGACGCATCGTATTTAAAGTAATGTGACAGAGTATTTCTCTATTTTTTAGATAGAACTCTCAAACACTTTAAGTGTATTTTTCAATTGATTTTCTTGGAACGTTCCCTAAATTCTTGTTGCATTTCTCACGGTTAAATTTTTTTGTTCATGGTTATTTTCAAGTTTACTTATTTAAAATCGTAAGAAAGCATAATTTTTTACTAACATAATTTAATTTAATTTAATTTAACTTAATTTAATATATTGCAAAGACTATATGTTAACAGTGTAACAGACATGATACAAAAAATATGATACCAAACATTTTACTACACTTTTCGTATTTGTAGGTGAATACGTTTGTATTATCTCGACTTTGGACCATTACAACACCTGGCGTTGTTGAAGATCCTTTAACAGATACTTTCCCAATGGAGGAATCCAATTCGATGATACTTTCTTTTTGCGACATAACATCGAGACCGGAAGCCAAATTCGGCATTTGTTTGGAATTGACTTTAACAACCTCCCCGGCGTTAGCTACTAAAACAGGTGGTCGGCTAGATTTTTGTTCATACGCAGATTGCAATTTTAATGACGTTGCCAGATCAGTGCCTGAAATTGAGGTTTTATTGGATTTACACGACTGTGTATTAGCGAGGTTGAATGCACGATGAACCACGTTGCTCCGGCCCAATAGTCTTTGGTCTTCAGATTCCCCAATCCATTCTTCATCACTGTCTGTGTCACTTGTCGTTTCCTTTGCGACACTGCTTCCTTCTTTTTCTGAATCACTCTCCGAATCATCGATCGTCCCTTTACTCAACAGTTCATTCTTTTCCTTTTTTCGTGAGCCATACAATTGCTTCATTTGATTCATCGCTTTCGATTTACTAGACCGCATCGAGCGTCTTGCTTGAACCGCAGTACTTAATCCAGGCTGACAAGATTTAGTTTTTATCACTGATTTTTGCAATGTCAAACTCTCCAATCCGACGACTTTTGTATTAGTTTTCTGTTGCGCTGTTTTGGACTCCTCTTGCTTAGCGCGACTCCGCTCAAATTCATCCAATAAACTATTGCGTATTGCTACAGCCTTTGCAGATTTGGATGAAGCCTTTTCATGTGGATAGCTTTTCCATTGGATTAAGTATTCCATGCATTGCTTTTTAGTATTAAAACGTGTGGCTAATACTTTATCGACAATATATTCTTTGTCACTTAGATTTGCATTTTCTGCTGTAGTTGCTTTCTCAGTCTTGATTTTGGGTTTGATCGATGGTTTTTCTTTTTTGTCTACTCCAGTTTCCACAGATTCATTCTTCTGTGTTTTTGTTTCGAGTAACTTCGCAGAATTTTTTTCAATTTCGCTTGTTTTTTCCGGTTTATTTCTGACAACTGTATGAACTGTTATCGGATTGGCACTTTCGACATTGGTATTTGATTGCATTAGGATATCCTGCATTTTTGCGTTACTAATTTTTGTATAGGCTTGTGCTTGTGTTTTCCCTGCTATGATCCAAGTTTCTTTCTCTTTTGTATCCATTTTACACCATTTCTGATGCAATGTCCAAGTGTCAAATACCTCCTTATCTGAACTGTCCTGAACTTGTGTACTTTTCCATAATAGAAATGGACATATTTGTGCATTTTGTCTATTATCATTAATGTCACGAATACATGACGTTTTGGAGCAGAATTCCTTCTTTGTGCGATGTTCTTGAAACTTTTCGATAAAATGAAAGACAGAATGACACTGTCCACATATCAGTATATCTAATTGTTCCATTTCTTCTTGCGCTGCTATAATAACTGTGGATATATTACTGATGGCTGAAGAGCCATCGGCCACCTCCATTCTGTATACTATTTTTGATCTCGCGATCCTTTTCATAAGTTGAAACTGATAAACGGCTGTATTTTTCTGAGCCTGGAAAATAGTTTATCTTCAGTACCTTATTGTTATGTTGTTTCAAATCTTGTGAGGAATTATGTTTGATAAATGTTTCTCAATAATATTAATAAAGACGATTGTTAATAAACAAATATGGAAGTGGTAACATAAAACGGTACTGTTGAAATATACAAAGATATTCTAAATCAAAAGAATGAATCACATACACATGAACTACATAAATCTTACCGCATTCTTGAGGTACATACTTTTTTGTATCTTTATTTATTATTTTTAAATATTGCAAAACTCGAGGTTTATAGAGTATTCTCCTACTTTTTAGATAGGACTCAAATGTTTCATGTATATTTCTGAATTGACTTTATTGGAACGTTTCTTAAATCCTTTTCGTATTTCTTACTAAATTTTTTTTGTTATATTTTCAAGTTCTTCATCTAAAATCGTAAGAAACCATAATTTTTTAATAATATAAGTTGGATTTGTTAAATTTAGCCATTATTATTCAATCTATTTTATTGCTGAATTGATGTATTTTATTGTTAGTGATACTGGATATATATAATAATTTTGAACGTTTTTTTCTATTTATGAAAGTATTTTTTATTTTTTTTCTAATTTACGTAAATAAAATATTAAGTAAAACAACTGTGAATGGAATGATAATCGTTTTTGTATTACCATTTGTTAGAGAGAGCAAAATTCATATTATGTTTTGTTTTTGCCTTTGTATTATTTAATATTCTTAACATTGATAATGATTCGATCGCGATTGGAAGTTTGTCTATAGCTTGGACATTGTACATATTAAAACAATAAAAGGTATAATTGTTTCTTTTACTTATGTATAAACTTCTATATTAACGAAATTTTATTTTATAAAATAATTTTTGGCTTGTAGGCTTTTTTTATAGTTTTTTAAATTTTATGAGTCTTATTACAAATTGATATATTAATAAAATGTTAACTTGAAAACATGGGACGTTAAAATAATTAAACGTATTTCAAACTGACAGAGAGTACGAATAGGAACATGTAAATAAGAAACTGTCGTCCAGGTTGAAAGCTATATTTTGTATATATTACTATGTATATGTATATTATTATATACGAAATAAGAAATGTGAAGAGTAAACTCGTATAATTGCTTGTCATATAAAATGTGATAAAAAGAAATTAGAGAAAATTCAGTTGTGCAATGAACATTAGCTAAAGTTAATTTTACGTTTGACGACGAGAACAGATTATAATCGGTAAAGTTATGATAAAATAGCTGTCACGAAGAGTAAATAGGTAAAAATGGAATGATGTGTCAAAGGCGGACAAAATCATGAAAAAAGAAAGTCATAAATTTAGAATGATGTGTGCCGATTAAAAATAACGTTTTGATAATCTTGTAACTTACATGCAATGCTTACAGCTTAGACGTAGCAATAATCAAAATCATTACCGTTGAATTTCAAATTGTTTAGTGAGAACTAACCATGTCAATGTCTTAAAAACAACTGAGATAAGACAAACGTATGTGTTTATTTATGTTATATATATATATATATATATATATATATATATGTGTGTGCAGGGTTGGCAACGTTACTTTATAAAAATAACTCGTTACAGTTCTTTTTCCTAAAAAGTAATTTGTTATATCGTCACACGATATTGATTTGCACAAGTACAAGATTCATAAAAATCTCGGTACTTTCATTCAAAATGTAACCAGTCTTTACTCTTTTTTTACTTTTACACGACTTTTACACGAATAGAATATTATAACATTTCTCATTGCTGTACTTGAGAAAATAAAACTACTCAGTACACATTGCTGTTCTTATATACTACTCCTATATGAACGTAAAAATGACATTTAATTAACTGTTCGAAGTTAATATTTTATCAAATAGCCTAAAATAGACTAAAATGTGTGGGTGATTTTGCGGTTTAACTCGTGTGAGAATTTTTTTTAAACATACATTTTATATTGATTTGTGATTAAATATTTTAAAGTTCATTGTATGCACACACCCTCTGTCTATAAAAAAACACTGTTATAAGTAGATTTTTATGGTAAATATTCAGAAGAGAAGAGAATTTTATTTTTTAGAAGAGAAATAATGTTAAAAATTAATGAATGTATAGAAACGTTTTAGTTAGAAATAAACTTTTACGTGGCTAAATAGTGATTGGTTGATATTTGTGGATTTATGAATAAAAATCAATCCCTCGGTGAGTTACAGTCAAATGACAGAGGAATGCTCGATTGTTGGTTAGTTTTTACATTCTGATCCGGAAATAAATTTGCGGTGGAACTAGGGCAGTATTATCAACGTAAATTTGGCTATTAGTGTTCTGAAATTGTACACGACCATGTAAATGAGGACATAAATATGATAGAAAACGCCAATAAATGGTCAAAGAATTTAGAGATTTTAAACAATATGATATATATTTTTGAATCGGAATATTTAAGGGGATCTTCCTATTTTACCACATAAGTACGTATAATTTTTGTATAAGAAATACTGTTTTTTTTTACTGGTTCGATAATCTTTTTTCGGAATTAAAATATATACATTAATACGTGTGTGAATAGTGGAATCTATGCCAAGAACGATCAAAAATCTTAAAATTGATATATTTTGTATTACTTTTTAGTGCAATGTGACGTTTTAGTCGTCTCAAGTCGTGACAGCATTTGCTTGATATGAAAGCTTTGCAAAATCTATACGTACGAAATAGTAATTTTTAGAACTTTCAACGAATTCAATTGGATGCAGTCAGTACGCACTGGTGCATATTAAAGTCGTACAAAAATTAACGTAAAGATATGTTTATACATAGAGGCATAGAATTTCGATTCATTCATAGACATAGAGATTGGATTAAATCTTCAAATACTTAATACATTTTATTGTACTATTACGTAAAATATAAAAGTTGAATTTATGATAATATAAGATCAATAGAACTTTATATGATAAAATTATGGAAAGTATACGTTACAAGAGGTTAAAAGTTTCTTCCAAAAAATTCAACAAAACGTTCCTTTTTTTTTAAATTAGTACATTACTACATTTTTAAATGTACGTCTACAAAGTCAGAAGATTTTACGGCAGTAAGAAACAATTAATAAATTTAATCTGTAAGAACTCGCGCCGCGAGATAACAATAATTTCGGCGACGCTCTTTGAAGATCGCTAAGGAAAGTCCTTATGTGGATGGTTTGCAACGTGCAACTAACCTCGGCAATGAACATCCACTGACCTTACTGTTGTCCGGGTCCTGATGTATCTCTCAAAATAGTGCCAATAACGATCTAGATCGTGTCTCAGGTCTTCTGCTGCGAATTTCAGCGAATGCCGAATGATGAACCATATATAGTTTCCTCTAGTCGAAATCGTGTATGCGGTGCAATAAATTTTATTGTTTTTAATAACCAAACGACTTCGAAAAGTGAAAGATTGAAATTATATATGAGCATATTTATAGTAATAATGGGCATCGAAATTGCTGCAATCTTGACAATCTACACAATCTAATAGAAACGATTTTGTTAAAGTTTTATAATAAAATTTGTGTGTTAGGAGATTCTCGCGTTTGATGATTATAATGCCTATAATATACATTTAATACAAATGTCTATATCAATAATGTCAAGAAAAAGATTTCATTGAATTTTACCGAATCATTTTGAAGATATTTAATTCTAAATTTATAGAATTATACATTTCAAATTGGAGGTATTAATCTATAATTATTCTCTTCTAAATTGAGAGACTTACGTGTTATATATATGTAACATAGACCTTTAAATAAAGTACAGGAAATACATTACAAATTTATAAAATCCTAGTATCTTCATAAAAATCATACTCTCGCTTGAACGAGTGAATCGTCACACCGAAGATGAAGCGACGCGATAGTTGAATATGTTCGTTTCTGTTTTATTACTCCCATTCTTTGTAGCAAAAGTAAGACTCTCTCTAAACTCGCAAATTTTCGTTTAACATTTCATTTCTCGTAAATAAAAAAAACATCACTAAAACGCCAACATGTCAGAGACATTGTGTCGCCCCAAAAAAAAAAATGACCGTCATAAAATCGCTCGCTATTCATGTCCGGTGTTCATACTCTGCCTCCGCGACAAAAAAAGTTACAGTCCTAATCTCCACTCTTTATTTTTTCAGAATTTACTCTCCATTTTGAGGTCCTCTACCACTTCTCTTCTCAAATCATCTTATGGGTAGGTACGATGCGAACCAATCAAATCTTTGTCAAGTATAAAGCGAATCAAGCAGAACACATTATTTAATTATCTTATTACCCCCACCACTTACTCTTCGATCAATCAGAGCGCGCTTTGTTTCCAAATTAACCCGTTTAGGCCACGCTTACGACGCCACAGGGAGACGTGGAGGGAGTTTGTTTTGAAGCCCCATGGCTGCCCATATATAATACTACAGTCATATTATCGCCTACATTTCGATTGTCTACATTTTTATATAAAAATATAAATTTAAGAAGCATCGATTTGTCACATACATATTATTGTTTACAAATCGATTTTTTAGAAGCACTTAATTACATAAGATAATAACTTTTAAAATAGAGAATTGGTACTTTAGAATTAAAAAATTTGTTTTTTTTTAAAGCAGAAAGTAATGTAGACAATTGACTTGTAGGTAATAATTTTTGTGCGCAAACAAACCGACAAATATAACACAGACAAACGGTACTATAGGCAAACAATTTGTAAGCGAACGGAGTTCTCCTTTTCCGGAGTACATTAATTTTTATTTAAAGCAAGATGCTTTTACGGAAAACTTTAGGAATATTATAGCGATGATTTAATAATCGAGACAAGAACAAATTACTAATGCTTTCATGTCAATTGTTTTAATATAAATCTTGTTTGTTGATTTACAATAGTACATAAGTGATAGTCATACATACAAAAATAA